TTTTCACAGCTAAGAAGATATTATCAGTTCGTTTACCCAGCCATACCAACCTCGTAATAGTAAAACAAGCCATAGGCTTATCTACAGAAGGTGGAAGAATAATGGCCAAACCTGAGAAGCTCTCATCATAATAAGCAGTGGATGAATCCAGCCTAAGGAACCACGCAAGTGGGTGACATAACAGATGAGACACCAAATTCTCAGGTCTTCTTTGTAGCCATATACTAAGGCCAAAAACACTCAGGCTTTAGGAAAAAAAGCATGAATATTTTCTACAGCCTTTAAATTATTCTACAGTCTTTTTCTAATTTTATTTACGTGGGTTTAGGCTAGAAATATAGCGTATAAAACATAGAGCCTCCTTTATGGACGCTTGAGGTACTGGTTTGGTGTCTCATCTGTTATGACACCCACTTGCCACGGAAAGCGGTCGACCCTAGCCTCAGCATCGAGGCTGGTCTGGGAGATTTTGTTTCCATCCCCATCGAACAAGCCCCTTTGTTCAGATAAATGATCACCCTGAGAGGCTGGGGCTGGAGCACAAGAGTTTCGGCAGCGACGACACCTGCATTAACATTTAATAGCCTTGTATCCTTAGGTTCTCACAACTGGGCAGAATGGACGAAAGTAAGACCCCCCTATGAACAATACTCTAACGGTAGTTCGATGTGGCGGATGTTCAACGGGGACGACCTCCATTCGCTGACGCGACCATTATTCTTGGTCCATTCCGAGCGTGAAGTGATCCGGGGCTGTACAAGGGCAGACACAGCGAAAGGAACGTCCATTACTCCATCCTGAACCGAGAATATGAAAGTCAGCCAGGAATGTTTCATGTGAAATGGTCCGTTGGCACCATGCCGTCACCAAGTTTCGATTCGTTAGCCCTCAGCACCCCGAGGCCATCCGCGGATAGGGCAGAGCCGAGTGGGATAAAATGCGTTGGCGGCCTCATTTCTCCAGCGATTAGGTTTTCATCGGCTGGGCCAACGGACAGGTCGAGATGCATTAAAGTAGCGGGGGAGGTTTACGCGGCCCCTCCCTCGTCCGAGTTGATAGTGTGTGCGCGAGGCGAAGAGGGGGGGAGGATCTTCGCAGAGGATCAATTGGGAGCTACGTAAGTGGGAGCACCTTGAGCGTCTAAATCCTGCAGTATCAATCCACAGCTGAGCGCACCGTCAATGCAAAATCGGCCTGCCCTACCAGATAAATGCAAATAGCTGCCGTGCTATTGGGCCGCTGTCGACATGGTGCGTTACAGGGGCTATGAATGCTTGCTGTCCAGACCAATGCGGGGGGTCGGCCAAAGCCTCTGCAGTGCGTATTACCAGATCCTGACTAAAAGCTTAAAGTGTGAAGAGCATGTAGGTACGCGTAACACATCAATGTGACTTCTCGCGGGATCGACGGGACGAGGTGAGATAGCTGGCTCGGGAATGGCCCGTCATCATTGTCCGTCTCTATCGCCGTGGTCCATGATGCATCATCTTGGATGTCGGTCAGCGTTCTGTAGCACTCAGCCACCCGGACGGGGATAGCTCTCCTGGACGGCAAAACGGCAGGTGGTGAGATGGAGGGCGAAAGTAAATAAATTTAGAGCTGCTCTCTCTCGAGCTGCGCCGATCCGTAGCTTAACTGCCCCCGGTCGGCTCGAGGGGCGGCCGCTTCATGTTCCCAAAGCTCTGGCGGCCGCTAGCTCGAAAGCTCTACCCGCCCATGAAGATTTCCTGACGAGGCGAATGTCATCAATGATAATGTCGGCTAGGTTGTGACTTCCTTTTGCAGGCTGGTCTTGCTCACTGCCTTACCACCCCCCGTGCGTCACGCAGCTCCCTCCCCTGGTGCTCTCGTTGGACCTAGACATGCCGGCGGACCAGCTCGCGGTAATGCTGAGCATTGCTGCATTGGACTGTTCGAGTCTTTCCGGATGCTGACGCGCGTTGCCCTGTGGCTTATCCAGGAACTGCATCTGCGAGGTGCTGGCCTGGATTGGGATTGATGGGACTGGGGTCAGGTCATCGCAGCATCACCGCGATGGATCAGCACGTTTTCGCTTGCCCACTCAACAAGCTTCAATGTGCATGCCGAGAGGGAGAGCAAAGATAATAATATGGGGCACGGCTTTCAGGGGACGAGGATCAACGAGAGATCATCCCCACAAACCTTCGACTTACAAATCGGACCCTGGTTCGCTGCCCACGCCTCCTATGGGGGCCTCATCCTTACCGTTTTTACGTGTAATCCGACTCTCGTCAGCCAACCACAGTGACACTGATAATAATCCAGAGACATTGGGGTAAACTGTAGACTCGTAGTGTGTCCTAGCATCAAGATAGCTTCTTTGCCTACGAAGTTGACATGAAGACGAAGCCATATCCGCGATGGCTCTCTGCTACGGTGAACCACGTCCAAGACTTGGGATCATTATCGTCATCGTCCCACGCTGGGCATGCAACCTTCCGTCCATTGGCGAGCTGTCACTCCCCCCCACCCCGGCAGATGAAACCGTCATGGCCGCTGATTGTGTTTAGTGCTGGGCTGTGCAAAAGCGAAAGCTGCCATTCGTCGAGCTAATCTACCGGGACCGCTGCCATACGTGGAGTAGTGCAACGGCCTCGATGCACTCAATCCTGCGTCCAGAGGATTTAAGACGAGCTTCCTGTGCCCCGTTCCTTTGGGTTTCGAATAAGACATGTAGATCAAAATCTCCATATCCTCAACCTTGCTCACCTGGTCCTCTCAATAATAAGCCAGTACATCCTCATACTCTGTCCAGCTTCTCTTCCTACCATTCGTCTTCCTTTCCATTTTCTCCTAGAGTGAGAACGCCACGATAAGATCATCCACATTGGACCTATATGGTCAATGCTGCGTTACGTGATGAAATCGACGTTTTCTAGAGCTACCTTCGGGTTAGCTGCCGCCCTTTGTAAGTAACACCTTGCTGATACCTGTGCCCCATTTGGCCCTCCAAAACCAATCATTGGTTGCTGAACAAGTAAATAGATGCAACTCTCACATCCGCGGACGTAACCTCCCGCCAAGTGGGCGACTCAAACGATATCCAATTCCAGTGGGGTGTCCCCGAATCATCTGCCAGCTCGAGCTCGGGAGCCTTCTATGTCCAGCTCAGTGCTCCTGTCACATACCAGTGGGTTGGGCTGGGGATTGGCTCGCGCATGGCGGGCTCTCACATCCTTCTCATGTACCAGGACGGCAGTGGAAACATCACACTGAGCAACAGGCAGGCTGATGGCCATTCCATGCCGACCACCACCAATGACGGCCAGCTTGAGCTTCTGTCTGGAACTGGTGTGCAGGACGGCAGGATGGTGGCCAACGTGAGAGCCTCGGACCTCAACCTCCAGCTGGGCGGGCAGAATAGCTGGATAGCGGCCTGGAAAACCGGCAGTTCCCTAGACTCGACCAACACTGCCGCGCAGATATCAAGGCACGACGGCCACTCCCAGTTTTCGATCAACTTTGCACAAGCATCGATCAGCTCGGATGCCAACCCCTTCGAGAACAGCAACGGCACAGTAAACAACCCAAGTTCTGGTGGGAACAGCAATGATGATAGTGGTAAAGATGACGACGATGACAGCACCAGCGGCTCCAACATGAATACCATCATTCTTGCACACGGCATCATCATGTCCATCGTGTTCGTTGCCATGTACCCCATCGGGTCCATGCTGATGCCCCTCGTGGGCAAGTGGTACATCCACGGAGCGTGGCAATTTGTCGCTTACCTCATGATGTGGGCTGGCTTTGGCCTGGGTTATGTATACGCAGAGCGGAATGGACTTGTGAGTCTCCTGACGACGCATCAAGCAAAAGGCCCTGGAGCAGACATCGCTAACATCCACGCGAACTTAGTTCTTCAACCAAACCCACACTCGTATGGGCACCATCGTAGTCGCGCTATTGGGTCTCCAGCCTCTCTTCGGATGGGTTCACCATTCGCAGTTTGCCAAACACCAGAGTCGAGGTATCATCAGCCACGTCCACATCTGGTATGGTCGTGCATTGATAATCGTGGGTATCGTCAATGGTGGTTTGGGTCTTGAGCTCACGGGCAACAGCTCAGGGAGGTACATGATTGCCTACTCCGTCGTCGCGGCTGTCGTTTTCGCGGCATACATCGGCTCCATTGGCTTTGGTTTTCTCAAGCGCAGGAGACAGGATGGAGGAGCGGAAGGCCGCCGTAAGAAGTCAGACTCACCGCCAGTCTCTCAGACGCGCGAATACGCATAGATGAGAGTGGCCATAGTGGGTTCACATCAAAGGATTGGGGTCCGAGAAGAAGAGAAGGATGTGACTGGAGGCTCCAATCATTGACCGCTATTTTCCTTTTATGTTATTTGAGAGCAAGGACATAGTAGAAATTTGTTGGTTAGAGCGCATTGAGAGATGATCGACGATGAACGTCAATGATGATACCAAATATCTTTACTTCCACTCGTGAGCTATGCTCATCATGGTGAAATCGTGGCTATTTGTATATAGCTATATTAGCTATGTAGAACTACGCATGATTGCCGCCGCCATGGTATAATCGCCGTGATGAACATGGTTGGGGATAGCAGTTGGCATGAATCTTGATAGAGCCTGCTGGGGACGTGAGATTGCGGTGGGTATGGGAAGACCTACCCTTGACAGATCTCACTCCCAGATAAACATCAAATCTCTATGATGCTATGAATGGAAATTCAAGATGGAGTGCACTGCTTCATCTGACGTATCGGAGCTTTTCTCAGTGGTTGGCTCTGTTCTTAGCACAGCTGCTATTGAACCTCCTGAACTCCAGGGTGAGCTCGGGTCACGTGCCGCCACTGGCGCTGCGGAAGAGCGGTCTACTGCAGCCTGAGGCAACAACATCTCCGCGAATGGAGACCTCGGACGGGTGAGAACGGCTACCACCTCACGATTTTCACAAAACCCTCAGCACTCACCCCATCTCCCCGGGATTCCCATTGAGCATCAACCAGCCATCCAAAATGCTCAGCCAACTCTCTCGAGCTTCGGTAAGCATCAACCCCCTCTGCTTCGACTTTCCCGCCTCATAGCCTGCCCCGGCGATCCAGCTCTCCCAACTGACACCTGTTGCTCCCATTATTTAGCGCGCTCGCTCCGTCGTCGCTGCTGTCGCCCGCCGAAATGTCCCCGTCCAGCAAATGAGGGGCTTCATTGCCCCTACCGTCTCCCGGAGAGGTAAGAACAGCTCCTTGAACACCCTTTGACGTGTTGTCTCCATGGATTGGATGTTTGGACCGAATCGGATCTTGTATATCTCGGCACTTCACCCGCATCTTGCCCCATTCGACCGACGCCCGAACAGCTTCATCCTCCACCCATGACCGCGCCGCAGTGTCTTCACTGTTTATTCGCGTCATAACGCTATTCCAATGGACACCCAATTTCAATCATATCGCCAATTCCACGACACCAATCCTTGAGATACCCCGGAGAATTGACCGGCTGGCCGAATACATACACTCCCTCAATGACGTCGTATACTAACATCCTTCTTCTCTCACAGCCGACTTCGTCCAGGAGCTCTACCTCAAGGAGCTCAAGGCTTACAAGCCCGCCCCCCTCAAGGACACCGACTCCGTCGGCCAGGTCCAGACCTTCAGCGCCCCCGCCACCCCTCAGTCCCCCGAGGAGGCCGACCTCGCCGGCAGCCTCCAGGAGTACGAGCAATTGGCCGTCGAGATCGAGGGCCAGGACGTCTCCGCCACCGGTGAAGCCGCTGCTCTCCCCGACTGGCTCGAGACCGAGGAGGAGGCGGAAGCCAGCCACTAAAGAACTCAAACTGGGCATGTCGTACCGCGATAAGCTTGGGGTTTTGAGGCAAGGGGTGTGTATTGGAACGCGGTGTATTTGTGGCATTGGTACGCCTTGGATCGGCTCCTATGGAATTTCAAAAGAGTATGGTCGTACGTAAGGAGAAGGAAAGGGATGCTCGACGGCAACACTTTAGCAGGCGGTGCCAGCTTCGAGCGGACAAGGGTGACGCGAGGGATTAGTCGCTGTTGATAATCCCGTGTATACTTTCATCCAGGAGAAAAAAAATTCAGCCTGCAACTGGTGTAGTAGTTCAATTTCAGTGCGAACGCGATTGCCAAGCGATTACATATCGTCCCAACCCTTCCTGGGATGTTGGCGCTGTCTTCCGAGAACAAATATCCGTGCCTGTGTCAACGCCTGCGGTGTCAACGCCTGCGCTATAGCGCCCTTTTAACACGCTATTGCGAAACCAACAGTCTCTTCTCACAGACAAGCCCCTCTCCTCTTCTACAGCCCATATCTGCAGTTGAGGTCCGTATCCCCCTCCTGGGTAGTCCGCATTGTGTAAACATCGGATCTTTGGCTAGGCTTCATCTGCCTATTGATGCTATTATGTACGCTAGCATAGCCTGAATATCAGATAGGAATGAGGTTTAGTAGTCCACTTCCATTTCTCCACTACTGAGATGTCAATTTATAATGTCATAGGTTCCTTAGCCCATGTATAGTTTGCAATAACGAATATTTTGCTCGGGCTGGCTGATAAACTTCACTTCGACATCTTGACCCAATCTCGAGTGGCGATAACACATGCTTAAAGCTGAGAGAAATCACAGGAAAGATAGCAGAACTGAAACTCGATTATTGCTATGTACCACCAGCTCGGCAGGAATGCACTGCAAGCGGCTGGGAGGAGCAATCCAAGCCCCCCAGTTTGCGCATTAATATACGCTATTACGATGAAATTTCATTCATTGGGGGATATGACGCCATGGCAGAAGCGATGATGAACAGGAAATTCTCAAGGTAGAGTAAAATCAGTATTATTGCTCGTTGGGATATGTGTGGTTGTTTGTCGGTGTGCCGAATCTTGTAGTGATTTCAACAGACGAGGCATGCCGGTAGCAAGCGAGGTTTCCCTCTGATGCACCCCTTACTCGCAAGCCAGAAACGCCGGTTTCCCCCTTATACCGCACTCGTGCGTTGACCACTAATGTAATGCTAAGACCATACCAACCTCCATGCATGAATGTCAAAACGAAACCTTCTTTCTCTCCTATGTCATGCCAGAATTCATAAGTAAAAGCACCAAAGGAAAACAATAACAATCAATGACCAACGTCCTTTTTTTGGTTTCGCGGAAAATATGACCCATTATCATCATAACGCCTAGATAACCTATGAGGCCAGGAAGAGAGACGTGCGCACTTTTACATGTCGAAATGAGTTCCTCCAACCATTTGGTCATCGTGAGTGTTTGTCCTTATGATGCCACTCATCCGGTTTCCCCTCCGAGGATCAAGGTCATCGATATTGTCCCAGTCATCATCGGTTCCCCGAGTGTCATCCATATCTTCGTCGTCGTTGCGGATGCGATCCCTCATATGATCATCAAGCGCACTCTCGTCAACAAAAGTGAAGCCCTGGAAATTGGCCTGTACCGAGGGTGAAAGCGGGGTGCTGGCAGCGTACCCTCTGGCAAGGGCAGCAGCCCGCTCGTTCAGAGACCCGTTCTGGTCCAGTGCGGTGGTGAATTCCGGGTCGAAGTACGACACGTCAGTTTCGGACTTCAGCTTGGGCTTGAAGGGAGGGGTGATAAGCTTCTTGGTCAGGAGATCCCAGTCAATATCACCGAAGAAGGCGTGACGTTTGAGCTCTTCAGCATCACCTGTAGCGCCTAGCCTGTGCTTGGGATTTCTGTTAAGCAACCCCTTCACAAAGTTTCGACCTTCTTGCGAGAGGGTATCTCGGGGAAATCGGACCTTGCCAAAGGCGATGTTCTTGTACATTTGTTGCGTGTCCTCCGCATAGAATGGACTCCAGCCGCAGCACATCTCGAACACCAACACTCCAAGGGACCAAAAGTCAACCATTTTTGTGTAACCCGATTCGTCTAATAGCACTTCTGGGGCTAGGTACTCAGTTGTTCCACAAAATGTGTTCGTGGTGTCGTTATTCGTGAGGTTCGCCTTCGAGAGACCAAAGTCGCACAAAGCAATGTGCCCATTGGCATCCAGGAGGATGTTCTCCGGTTTCAGATCCCGGTAGACGATGTCATTGTTGTGCAGATGCTGGATGGCCAAAATCAACTCTGCAATGTAAAACTTGGCCCGTTTCTCGTCAAACCGTCCTTCCTTCTGGAGGTGCCAGAATAGCTCACCGCCAGACATGTAGTCGGTGACAAGATAGAGTTCCGAGGGAGTCTGGAAAGAGAATTTGAGGTTGACGATGAATGGTGAGTCGGACATGGCCGTTCTGACAAGAATGTTGCGCTCCCCCACTGTATGCGCCACTTCCTTCTTTTGCACGATGACCTTCTTCTGAAGCACCTTCATGGCATAGATACGCTTCGTGTCCCGCTTGCGAACCTGATAAACTTGCCCGAACGTACCCTTACCAATGAGCTTGAGAATTTCAAAGTCACTGGGTCCAAACTGCCTCTTTTCCGATCTTTGATATGATGCCTCCACGTAAAGTTCTCCAGTTGGGGCGTTTTCTGCCATGGTGTCGGCGTGGCCCTCAAGCTGGAACCATCCTTCGACTGATTTCTCGTTTTCTCGGGGAGCCTCCAAGTCAACGTGACCAAGGAACTCTTCGCCGCCGGAAACTGTGTGATCGTAAACGGAAATGTCGACTAGCATGTCTGAATCTACCACGTCACTATGCGATAAAATGTTAGCAATCAGACGTCAATACCAAGAGAGGTTATGTGGATTGGTGTGCGGGGGTTCACATACAAAACGGCCTCAGCGTCCCATTTCGGGTCCGTCAATGCCGTGCGAACGGTGAGACGGTTGCGAATTGAACTGTGATCGGCGGTACTCGTGTTGCTGCTCTGACGGCTTCGCATGGGGATAGACATTGGTGGTCGCCCAGAGTCACTGCCTTGCCTCTGGATCGCAATGCCGCCCATACTCGGTGGCGGGATAACCAAGTTCTCCTCCTCTTCATTCGGGTGTGGGCCGCCCGAGATAAGCTCGCTTCTCTGAAATACGACGACAACGTATGGGTCGCGACATCTTCGTAGGCCTCGTCCCTCGGGGATCTTGATTGTCATTTTACCCTTGGGTATGGGAGCCTGGGCACCATTGGGACCGCTGGGGCCGCGAGGGGTCTGAGTGCCGCTGGTTTCCGCGCCATCGTTGCTGGATCGACTGGAGCTTATTTTCACGTCCGAATGCGATTGAGCGGCGGAGAGCGCTCTTGTAGGGGTGGGTGGACCGCTCTTGAAGACACCACGAGTTAGTTCCATGAGTCCATCAAGGGAGAACCACTTTGATGGAGCTTGTGAAGCATTAGGATTTGCAGTATGGTGCGTATTATTAGTGGATGAGGAAGTTTGATTGTCAAGAGTAGCTTGAGGTGGGGCTACGCTCGATTCTGAGTTTGAAGCAACACTCGGCACGTCCCGAGACTCAGTCTCAGATACCTCAGCTGTGGTGGACGACGAAGGAGGCGGAGGACAGGAAGAAGAAGATGAAGGAAGAGAAGGAGGAGGAGGAGTAGTAGTAATACGTGCACTGGGAGACGGTTCGCAAGTTGAGGGCGACTGGGGACGAGCTGTCGATGGCTCTACTAAGGCCTTGGAACAGCTCGCCCCAGCGGTCTTGGTTCTCAAAGAACTGCCAGCGGAGGATGGGAGTGAAGTGGGAGGGGTTGGGTAAGGGTGAGAAGTCCTTTGCCCATCTTGCGCAGCATCTCGTTGAAGACCACTATCTTCGGTGTGAAGCTGTGAAGACGACGGATCGTCAATTTGAGACCCGCTACAAGGTAAAGAGCTATCGATAGGGAGCCGTGGCTGCAGAGCACTGGACGAAGCGGAAGGGGGCTGCTCATCCAGCGTCTTGTTTGAGGGGCGAGAATCCGTATGTGGACATGGAACGGAGGAAGACATATCGGGGACAGGAGCAGTATCTGGACGAACCTGGCCGAAATAACTCATGATTCCAGGTAACCGTTTGTCTTGAAGGTCAGGTTGGGGGGTAGCTACACCAGATCGAGGGGTTTCGTAGCCAATTTGATCCGCGCCATCCTCGTCAGCTGCGGCAGTTCTAGTGAGGTGGTCAACTGGCATGATCAATTCAAATAAATAAAGAGTGGAGGGAGGAGGGGGGAAAAGTAGGAACACAGAAAACAGGAACGAGTGCGTGCGCGGGGAAGAAGGGGTCGTGAGGTGGAAACGCTAGTTCATGACGGCTGCCAAGAAGGTATAGAGGGGTTTTGAGGGATGCAAGTCGCGATAGATGCTGTGGAGATGCCAGAGGCAGCGAGAAAATCACGGAAGCTCCGGTATAAGGGGCGCAACAAGGCGTGATGGGGCAGGACAGGCAAGGGATAGGGAATGGATAGGGATTGGGTAGTTCCGACAGCGGAAGCGGCCTGGGTTGGTTGCCATTGCTTGAGTCGAAGCTGTTGAAAGGATGATGATGAATTTTCGATCCAGAGAGGGCCATGTGGAATGGGTGGGGCCAGGCAAGAGTCAGAGACTTTCATCGGAGGCTGGAAAGACTCGAAAGACGCCAGTCGAGCCCGCCGAAGCGCACGAGAGCATGAGCCGTAGATGAGAGCCGAGCAGCGGGGGCGGTTTGGCCTAGAGAGGCCCAGGCTTAGGCTTAGGCTTAGGCTCAGTCGGCGCCAATAAAGTACAACACTTGAGCGGAGCTTCAGGCGGACCACCAGCAAGGGGATGGAGTCAAGGGACCCTCAATCAATCAAGCAAACACATACGGCTGGCCTGTGCAGCCTGTTGTTGGCCAAGGTGTTTGATTGAGGGGGCAATCAGCCCAGCTAATGACCAGTTGCTGCGGCATCCTGCTTGGCTTCCAGGGCAAGGTTGGTTATTGACGAGGAGGCGTGCAAGAATGTGATTTGCTGGGTTTAACCCGGTGCCTTCCCTTGGTGAGTTTTTTAATTCTCTCCTAACGTCTTCCATTCGTTGGCATTTATGTATGGCGAACGGGATGCTCGTTCCTCTAGGCAAGTGTCGTCCAATCCGGATCCGTGGCATGCCTTTTCGTTTTATTAATTACTTGGCGAGACGGGCGGCATCTTAGGAAGCTCCCGGCGAGCCTCGGGGCTGATCATCACGATAGCCGTATTCCATTCCATTAAATTAGGTAGCTGGGTTCAGCTGAATCCTGTGTCATGCTGTTGCTTTCACATGGGCCACTTCGTCAAGCCGGGATTTGGCGAAGGCACTAGAAGCGGTACCCAAATAAAACGTAAAGAAAGATGCTGACTCGTGGTTGATCCATCTTTTCCAAGCGGTGGCCTGGAAACGCCACCAAGGTCCATGTTGCTGCTCCTCAGCAACAATGCAGGCGGTGCGGTAGGGGGTGGATTCTGGATATTCCTTCCTGCGAGCTCTGATGTGTGTCTCAGGGATCCGGCTTCCAGTGTATCCTGGTCCAAGTACTTCATGTGCGCTGGGTTGAGGTGACGGGCAACGACGAGAGGGGAGATACTTCCAGTGCAGGAGATGACCCAGTAATACCCGGTGTGTAGCGAGCATAGCAGCAAGCCCGTGCTCAGGCAAGGCGAAAGAAGGGTGATGATGGATGTTTGGATTTGCTTGTATGAAAACGCAAGGGGAAGAAACAAAGATGATATCTAGCCATCTGGAACATGAAGGAGACGATCCGAGACCTTACGTACCTTGACATCATTGCCTGCGTAGCTCGCCGAAGGAGATCGAAGCCTCCTGCATTTGCCTGTGCGCTTTCTGTGCCCGACATAATGGCGTTGGTGTATGATTGCTATGCCACCTGGAAGGTAGGTAGTAGACCAGGCAGTATGTGCTAGTTGCTCAGTTAGGGAGGTTCTTAAGACACCCAAGCTGGGATTGAGGAAGAAAGGCGGCAGCGGAGGCAGGGAGCCTGCCAGCTGAGGAGGGGCAGGCGATGCGGAAGGTCAAGCGCTTGACGACGCAGCTGGAGCAATCGTCGAGAAATGCCTGATGCTGGAGGGAAGATTCTCGGGGTCAGAGATAAGGGAAGAAATGGTGGTGGTTGATTTTGGAGAGAGGTAGGAGAAATGCTGGAAGCACCTCGGGGGAGGGTTTGGGGCAAGGCTCAGGTGGCATGGGCGAAGCTGGCGTGCGGGCGTGGTCTATTCGTACTGTAGATACCTTTGTAGCGGGCAGGCATGCCGGCACTGGATGTGGCTACTTGGCTCTCGTCCTCCGCTTATTGAATGACGGCAGGTACATTTGGCTACCTACCTCCTACCTACCTGCTAGATCTACCTTGCTGGTTGGCCTGGGAGCTCCGATCCAATAACGACCTACTGTTCTCCCTTGAGTGCGCTGTTGGCTGGCATACCCACTACACGAGGTGGACAGCCACCTGAGCTCCCTACCAAGTCTCGCTACGGGGCGGATACATAGGCGGTTCCCTGTGGTAGGTACCGCGGGCGACCTCCACCTAGCCCAGCTGAGATGCATTGCTTTCATTGGAAGCTCCGATTAGACTTGCCTCCCCCGATGACCTCGGACGGCTTGGCTTGTGATGCGCCGTTGAACGTTAACGAGGCCGGCGCGGCCGACTATGGCCCGCCAAAAGCTGACAGCCAACAACGTACCCTGTCGTGAAGATGGCGAGATCTTTTCCAGCTGGTCAGAGAACTACAAACTGTGAACCCCCATTCCCATATGCATCTAGCGCTCCGCTTTTTTATGCGGTCTGGGTTGGATCATCGGTGGGTGCGTTTCCATCTCACGAGCCTGGCTGATGCTATTGATATTGGGCGTGGCCATGCCCTTCTGCCGAGGTGGCACTGGCGCGGCAGGAATCGCAGCATGAGGCGGGCTTGGAGCTGGGAGCGAGGAAAATTGAACGTCATGTCTCGGGGGAGAGGACCGCTCCTGGTGCGGTCAAATGGAATGGCTGGCTGGCACGAAAAGGCGGAAATCCAATCTCCAACTGCACTCCAATACTGGGTGCTATCTGCACGGTAAGATGCAGGAAGGTGCTACCTCAATCTAGTACCTAGTGTGTCTTGGGTATTGGTCTCGGTACATCCGCAATGGATGGAGGTACGTAAACGCGACCATCGGCCTGACATAACATAATCATGACCCTGAGAGGATGTACCAGCGAGGTACAGGCCTGCAGCGGCTTGAGGAAGCGTTACTGTGCATGAATCGAGGGGAAAATTGGTTCTAGAATGCCTCACATGCTACGAACAGCGGATAATAATGGTTCAGCTGTTTTCCTGACTGAAACCTTGTGTGATCCCACCTGTGCGTCTGGAAGCTGATGAATTGGATCAGCTCCAGATTGGAACAAACACCTGGGCCGATGTGCTGGAGGTCGAGTAGTGGACGGACATGTTTGATGCCGGGCCACGCCGCCATCAGAACCCAGACATTCTCCCTTCCCGCCACTTTCACGATGCTTTACCTGATTCGGACAGCCGCCTGCCAAGTTCCAAAACCTGGCGGATCCAAGGTAGTCGGAAAGTGGAGATAGCCCTCTGGAGCGGGGTTCAGCTTCAGGTTCTCTCACAAGGTGAGGTGAGCCGAGTGAGCAGCTGCCTAGGTACCTTACCTTGCCCATGGAGATCGGCCTTTTGATCCCACGAGCTTATCAAGGTAGGTAGCTGGGGATTGTTTCTGGAAGGTAATGCTAGAGCCAAGAGAATTGAAGCCATCTGCTACGTTGCCAGTCCCCCAACCCGCGCGGTTCGAGCCCCTCATGACAGGGCCGTCGAAACGACAGTTGCTTCTCGTTAAGGTGAGGGGCTACTAGCCCATCCCCGCAGGTGAAGCAAAAGCCCTCGGTGCCGCCCGGGCTCCTCTAACCCGCTTAGTCCATTTCTTTTGGGTCCCGGACCCTCCTCGTGAGGTACCTACTTGGACCTCTGGTGACAGCGATAGGAAGCCTCCCTGTAGCCCGCTCAGCTGCCACGAGATTGCCACTTCCTTAATGATGACTATCCTCGTCCCTTTTTGGCACGTGCAGTGTGTTTCCCATCCTTATCTCGAGAAGGATCTCTTCCTACTCAATCACGGAGTGTGCATTGTCTCAGAACTTATAGATAGGTGAACTGGATCGGGATTTCCGGTATTGATCTCAGATGAACGGACAAAGCTGGGGAGCAGTTCCATCCACGTTCCCCTCTGACACTCGATCATTCGAGGGACACGAAACAGGGGACGGACACAAGAAACACAAAAGGTCCAGTTTCTGATTGAGAGAAGAGAAAACCTCTTCACACTAAACCCACTCTCACCTGTCATATTCTTTGGCCTCCTCTCCCTTAAAATGAAGGCGAGAGAAGTAAGGAGTAGTACTTCGTTACTGACATGTTGTCTGAAAAGGCGGACTGCCAAAACCGCGTTCTTCCCCCCCCCTTGCCTGAAAGCACTGCTATCTGGCCACCTGAGCTGTGCGATCTCAGCCTTGCTTCATGAACTATATGTTGCTTTCGCCACTGAATCGGGAATATTGATGCATGGTGGCTTGCTCAGGAACATGGCAATGTGGCGGGCTCTGACCTATCCAATGCAAGCCAAAGTACCTAGGTCCACGTAATTGAAATTGTATAGGCCAGGCCTGAACATGAACCGCACCCCCCAATCCATGTCTCCGCATGCATGTCTCAATGTCGGGACATCCTCCCCCAAAAGCGTCATGTGCCGGCAAGGGATGAGATCGATAATGATACATAATATGGACCAGGAAGCAGGAATGCACTAGCCCATGCATGTAAGTGTGATTGAGTAAGACATACGGTCATGATGCTCAGCCTCATTGCGTGTGCCATAGGTAATATCACCACCACTGGGCTTTCGGACGAGCGGTCTGATGTATACATTGGCAGCTTATCTCACTAAGATCAAGATCCCGTACTCTCTTACCTTGCGTAACCGCTGGTCGAGCCTAGCCTAGCTACAGATCAATCCTCGAAGAGCCATGTGTGACCGACACTGTCGCATTTTCACTTTGTAACGGCTTCTTGCATGGTATAAGATTATTTGGCCACACACGCTCATCTTATTGATACACTACCTTTCGTATTCGCGCGTTTCTTTTGCTACAGTGACAATATTGCATTCAAAGAGAACAAAAAAGGCCCTTGATGACTCAGTTGTCAAATGTCGTACTACATCGCTCGTTTTCCTTTTTCTGGGAAGTGCGTTGAAGTAGCAATTATCACCGACGAGTGAATGCAAGCGAGCGGAGGTCCTCTTCACGTATTGCACGTGTAAGCGAAATTGATATTGAGAAAGGATGCGCCCCGAAATAATAGATTCTCAAAGCCACATCGGGCCCTGCAATGATATGGACCTCCCGTGATACTGTAATATCCTCTCTGTGGCTGGACTTAATAGTGGCGGTTCTTTCAGATCTGTCCTATCCTCTCCAGACCTTGACGAGCCGATACAACCCCCTTCTCGAGAACCCATGAATGCATGACATGTCGTTAAAAAACCCCGCAGAAACTCCTTGCGCTGCACCCGTGTTGGTGGATGACTGCGGCTACTTGCTGGCCGAAGCCTTGATGAGTGCAAGCCACCTTTCTTCCATCGCAGCCGTGACACCCTGCGGATAGAACTGGGCGTGCGACGTCTGCCGAGGCTTCAGTGGATCGCGAAACTTCTCTATTGGAAACCGTCAGCACCATGCCCAACATCAGGAAGCCCAGCAGGGTGAGGCAGGGACCTTACTGGAGTCAAACTTCAGGTCCGTCAGTCTTCCTTGAATGACTTCGGCCTCGTCCCTCACACGCCTCGTGTTGGCGCTGGATGCGTCATCCACCATCATGCCGTCGTGAATAGGTAATTCTAGTGGTCCTCGGGTAATGCGCTGGAAAAGGTGTGGCCCTGATGCAGGCGGGTAGGCACACCAGCCGATGTTGTCCTCACGACCTGGAAGCGGGTGCTTGAAATTGCACTGGAATCCCGGGCAAAACCACTCCTCAATACCGTGGAAGTTAGAAATGAATCCCCAATCAACACGTTCGATCGATCAGCAGGTAAGTCGCAAGTTTGAGGCACCAGGCGTTAAGCAGGCAGCATCGTAAAGAGTATGTATATTGGGAATGAGCTATGTGATGGGGAACCAAGCCCAGGTAGTCCTTACCTTTAGGCACTGCCGCGCTCAGTCCGGCTCACTAACACCGCCCCGTCCAATATTGGAGCAACAACGAAGCAGCCAGGAATTAATTAAGGGCAGCGGAGCCGCCCCACTGGAGGACTTTCTAACTTTCGCGCCCTTGAACCCAGCTCGACTTGAAGACATCACCGACATTCACCAATACCACTGGACCAACTAGTAAACCCGTAAACCATTGTTTCGAGCATCTCCCACGCTCCAGACCCATCGGCTGATTACAGTCTACCGTACTCCCCCTCTGGCAGGGTTTGCATTGAACCCGATAGACGTCACCGCGCGCCCACAATGGTGAAGAAGAAGACCATAGCAGTGCCCGACGCCTGGGACGATGATTGGGAAACCCAAGCAGACAACGGTGCACCACTCAACCAGGATCCCGAGCCTGAGATCGAGCCGCCGAGGACCAAGGCAGAGCGAATGGCGCAGCATGTTGAATCAAACCGAAAGCTGTGGGAGTCAGCGTAAGATGGCCCCCTCCCTTCACTCGGTGCAGCCCAGTTGCTAACGCGGGTTGCTCGCTCCCCAACAGAGAGTCGCGCGAGACCTTCCACTTTCTCGAGACAACCAACAACGTCCCCCTTACCTCATCTTTCAAGTCGCAGGTCAAAGTCCTCAGT